CTTGCGCTCAGGGGGGGAGGTGGTGGGGACGAGAGCAGAGGGAGCTCAGGAAGCTCCCGTCCCTCAACCCGGGCGTCTAAGACTTCGGAAAACCCACGTAGGACGACCAAGGGTGAGGTTCCCAACTGCAAAGCGGCCTGTACTTGGGCCCACGTTCGAGGTACACGAATGTCTCTAGCTACCTGTACGTGTGGCTTAGAGAAGTCGCACGTGCCCAGGGGAGCAGGACACCCTGGGCCGTGTGTAGGCTGTGACTGTGGGTCCAAAGGAGGAGCTCAGATTTACCGCATACAGAGGAGACTGGGTTAGTACTTTGGTTCCTTACAGGAGAATTATTTCTGGCAAAGTCTGTGGTGCTTTTGTCATACTTATAAGCCAATAACATAAAACCTCACGTGGGAAAACCAGACGTCAGATGCATGTGTCTAGATCCCAATGAGGTTTCCGAAGATCGATTAGCCGCATGAGAGGTCTGGTCCTTCCAGGGCACAGAATGGTGACTGAGCCTGGATCCCAGTGGGTCAGTATATGGAATGCAAATGTACTTATGTTTGGTGCTGAGGAACCGATGGAACCCTCGTATCAGATAATGGAAGCCCGTCGGTCATTTTTCTCATTGTTCCTTGGGTGCCAGAAGACTCAGAACAAAACGTAGTGCTATATCCAGACCCCTGGTAGATCCTGGATTTCTGGTAAGATTATGTTTCTATTTCCCTTATGTTTTCCCTGAATTTACTCTTTGATTCAACTTCTAATTGTGCATTTGTACGTGTGATTATCAGCTACCTCAAGTTGTTTGCAAGTTGTGAACACAAACACCCATGAACGGATGATCTTTTGTGGAAGCATATGATTTTTGAACTAAGGTGGATCATCCAATAAAATAAGTATTATAATGTTGGCTCTACCCCCAACATTTTTTACCAGTATCTTTAGTTGCAAATTCCTTTTTAAAAATCATTGTTCCCTTTCACAGATAATATCCAGAGGTCAGATTCCCCTCTAAGCTCTATTCCCAATTTTTAAAAAACCCACAGCCCTACCTCTACTGAACTGAGACAATATCCTTAACGAAGCTGTCAAGCTCAGCGGCTACCATGGGAAGCCCGTGCAGCACCGAGGCAGCGTGGCCGGTCACTGTGGTCAGAACAGCGTGTGCCCCCCACAGCCGCAATCCAGAACAGGGATTGTGCTCGGTTTTGACTTCCTCATGCTCTCATGCTAAAAATAAAGATGAACTGGTAGGCATCGTTTTATCACTTGGTATCAAATGTCCTAAATATTTTTTAAAAAATTTACATTCTAGATTCCCCCCACCTGTGTCACGTTACATTTTGTATGTCCAAAGAAATAGATCTGTCCACATACTAAAACACCTTTTTACTTGGCTATGAACTGACATGATATATGAATGAAATGAGATTATATCCCTAAGAGGAATGCATTCACTGAAAATTTTATTGCTAAAAGACCAAAAGGATGTGTAATTTCATCAAAACCAAGGCTCGGGCTGCCACTCTTGTCATATCGGAAGAGCATGGGTCTCAACAGGGACAGAACAGCAGAGGTCAACATCACACTTGTTGTGGGGTGCGTGCAGGTATTTATGTGCATAAGTAGCTGTCAGAGGGGAGAAACTTTGGTAGCAGGAAATCTTTTCAAGCCAGGAATAATTGAAATCTTACAGATTTGAAATAGCACCAGTCATAAGATGTTAATGTATGCATGAGTCTTATCTACTACAAGAAGCACCTTTTCAGTTTAAGAAATTCAAATATCATTCCTTAGTTTAGAATTACTGGTAATATATAATCATCAGGGAAATGCAAATCAAAAACCACAATGAGATGAGATAACACCTCACACCTGTCAGAACGGCTAGGATCAAAAACAAGAAACAACAGGTGTTGGCGGGGATGTGGAGAAAGGGGAACCCTCCGCACTGTTGGTGGGAATGCAAACTGGTGCAGCCACTCTGGAAAACAGTGTGGAGGTTCCTCAAAGAGTTAGAAAATAGAGCTAGACTATGATCCAGTAATCGTACTGTTGGTATTTACCCCAAATACAAAAACACTAATTCAAAGGGATACACGTACTCCTATGTTTATGGCAGCATTATATGATAGCCCGGCTACGGAAGCAGCCCAAGTGTCCATTGACTGATGAATGGATAGAGAAGAATAGAATATTATCCAGCCACAAAAAGAAGAAAATCCTACCATCTGCAACAACGTAGGTGGACCTAGAAGGTATTCTGCTAAGTAAAATAAGTCCGACAAAGGCAAGTATCATATGCGGAACAACAACAACAAAAAGCCAAGGAAACAAACGAAAAACCCAGCAACTGATCCCTAAAGATAGAGAACAAACTGACGGTTGCCAGAGGGGAAAGGGGGTAGGGGGAGGGTCACAGTGGGGAAGGGCAGTGGGAGGTCCAGGCTCCAGGGAGAGAGTGAAGAAGTCACAGCATAGGGGAAACCATAGACGGTAGTTTAACAGGCGGCGGCTACACTTGTGATGAGCACAGCACACCTAGAGGTGTCAAATCATCGTCTTGTACCCCTGAAACTGACCTGACATAGTGCATCAACTATGGAAAGTTACTGATAATATATGGGGACACAGACATCAAAAATAAAACCCAGAAAGCTTCACGTGATACCTCACTGACGTTCCTCTTGAGAACTGGCACATCGGCCACATACATTTTGGGTGCTTATTGGCTTTACGTAACAAGCCCACAGTATCTCATTCTAAAATGGAGGGAACCGGGCAGCCCGGGTGGCTCAGAGGTTAGCGCCGCCTTCGGCCCAGGGCGTGATCCTGGAGACCCTGGATCGAGTCCCGCATCGGGCTCCCTGCATGGAGCCTGCTTCTCCCTCTGCCTGTGTCTCTGCCTCTCTCTCTCTCTATCTCTCATGAATAAATAAAATATTAAAAAATAAATAAAACGGAGGGAACCAAAGTCCGTAAATGTTAAATAATTTGTCCAACCCCCCTCAGCTGGCTTGCGGCGCAGGGGAAGCTAGAACCCATGTTCTGTACTGGAAGACTGTTCTTCATCCACTGCCAACACACGAACTTTTCTACTAGTAATTACACAGAATGTGATGCATGGCAAAAAATTACCACGTTATTTTAAATTCAATTAAAACATTTGTTTAAAGACACTTGTCGAAAAATTGTCCAAATTGGCTTTTTCTGTGAATCTTCTCTAAAACGTCCCCTCCTTTCTTCGTGTAAGATTTGGGGTGTTCTGGGCTCACACCACCTCGGAGGTAAATGAAGCCTGGCCATCAAGCCATCCCCAGGCTAAGCCCCAGTCCTACTGTTTACACAGGGAGATGTCTCGGGGACACGCGCTCCCACAGCCTGACACAATGAAGCCTGGGTAAGAATGTGCTTCGAGTGATTCTTTGTTGGAAACTTCGTGCTTTTTCCTGAGAAACTGTGATTATGAGATTATGTCTCGCTGACGTCTCATCCAAACTTTTTAGCCAAATGGAATCACTTCTTTTCGTAACAGCGTGATAGATTTTAAGTTCTGACCAATCAAAAGATGATTAAGGGGAAACGTTGACTTCATTTTTGGTTTGCTAACTTGTTTTTCATTGAAAATGTAAGCAACAGCAAAAAGAAAATTTAAAAAAAAATGTAAGCAACAAGGTTTTAAAAACTTTTAAATGAAGAACTTACATATGTGTGTGTATATATATATTAATATAAAATAACACAAATACTTTAATTATTTAAATTACATGTTCAGTGATTTACTACAGTATACAACAGCAACAATGATATGATAAATTCAATTCAGTCTTTTAAAACACAAAATTCCCTTTAAAAATGACCCATCATTCCTTGGTATATAACAGAAGTCTGATAACCATTTCATCATGGATGCTCATTAAAACTTCCCTGTCTCCTTAAATGCTAGCATGGGGATTTGGGGAGTAATTTGTAATTTTTCCCTTGATTTTACTGAAGGACAATCAAAATAATTGCTTGATTTCACCCATAAATTAATGTTCAGCTGAAAAGGAAATAAAATGTAAGGCAGTGAAGGAAGGTCACCCCGAGGTGCAGCAGGCACACCTGCTTGAGCATCTGAGCTTTCATTATGTGGGCTCGGTTCTTGATGGCTTGTTAGGATGAATGACCTTAGTCCTAGCAGCCTAATTTGTGAAAAAAATTAGCTAAAAATGTATTATAGAGCCTGTAAACATCTCTAACTCCTCATAACCAATATCTTCCACTGAAAGGTACAGCTGCATTAATATCACAGGGAAGAAATTCCTTATGGGAAAAAGTCAATCTAAGATCGATCTCTTTATGACTCTCAGCCTGAGGTGTGCATGATGTAATCCGGCCATGATGCATTTTTAGCAATAATGCCCTAGCCACCTGATCTCGTAGATGTTCTCCACACTCACCTCTGCTACGGACCTCCACCCCGTAGTTACAGGAATGATATCATCATTGAAACCCCAAAGCCTCATTAGTGAGCTCCGTCCTGGATTTATTCTCCTGCCAGAACCTCCCCTTGCAGCTGCCCAGGTGCCAGCTTGGGCTTCCTTTCCCGGGACAAATGGTTAAACTAGGGAAGGTGAACTCCTGCAGGAAGATCGGGAAGGTCACGCTCTCATTTCCCATGCGTGACCCCCCCCCCCGCCCCGGCGGCGACCACAATGAGCAAATGGGCGAGGACAAACAGGCCATCTCAGTGAAGCAGAGGGGGCTCCTCAGCACGCTGCTGTGTGTATGTGGGAAAATGATTTTACGGCTGGTCTTAATTTGTGTTGTCGTATGTGTTATCCTAAGTTCTGCCCACACTTGGAGACCCTGCACATGAAACCAAAGGCTGAGTTCACATCGGAGAGGGGAGGAACAGACGACGCTCCCTCTTTCCCAAGAACACCCCCCAACCCTTGTCATCCTCTGCTCTGGGACCCTAGACAAGCCACCGTATGCAATACATTGTAAGAAAAGGTGGTCATTACCTTCTGTGTCTTGCATATTTGCCACTGACGTGACCGCTGCCATCACAGCCAGGCGTGGGACAGCTGCAACGGGAAAGAGCTCATTACACGGGGGCCACACTGCAGGCGGGTGAGGCCTACGGCTTTGGGAATCGGGTACACGGATGGAGAGAAGGCAAAATCTAGAAGGAGGGGAACAAGTAGGGGCAAGCAGCCGGTGAACCCGAGAGCGCGTCCGGCCCGTGAAAAGGCACAGATTTCCTAAATCGCTAACTGGGATACATTTTGCCTGCAGAGCACTAACCTGAAGAGCTCTTGTATGGCTGGTTCCACGGGAACTGTGGAGAGACAGGAAACAGATAGAGGTTTATCATCTATCACACACCCCCTGTCCCACAGAAAGCAATCGAAAGGCTGGTGTCAGACCCGGGGTCCGCGTGAACGGTGCACACGGCTCCGTGGGACGAAGGGGGCCCTGAGCGGGGCTTCCGGGGGCTTGGGGACGTGTGGATGGACATACCTCGCACCCCTTTGGACCGTGTACGATGACGCTTCTCCTCGGCGTCCACCTCCATCTGTGGATAGATGAGCAGGAGGTCAGTGCGTGGCTCCCGCCCGCGAGGGCCAGCGCTGCATGCCGCCGAGCACCGGCATCTTCGTGGCTACGGGGCAGCCCTCTATGGCAGGCGCGCGGGCAATCTAACCGAGCCGCCTAAAACAACCAAAGCAGACCTTGACCTTGCCGGGAACACTTCATCGGGGGGCCCCACCCTCGTAATGCAAAGACTTTGGTGAAGCTTCGGGTGCAGACCGTTTACCCTTTTCAAAGACCGATCAGGAGACGCCTGGGTTAATTCCGAGCTGCGCTTTGTACCAAGAACATAAGAGACGGACGTGAAGTCGGCAAGAAGGTGCATACGCGTCGCCTGGAACCGAAAGTCTAATGCGATCACGGCACCGAGAGAAGGGGAGGGAGATGTAGCAGAAGGACCTGCTTAGCCCGGGGCCGGCTCTGCGTCATTTAGTTTCAGATGCAATCGCCGTCCCCTTGGTCTAAGTCGTTACGATGCTTCCTGGGGACACAGACCCTCTGCCCACGGTGACCCGCACACCTTGCACTTTGCAGATTATAAAGCATTTCCGTGTATCACCTCGTCTGGCCCTCACGACGCGTGTGTAAGAAAGCTACGTGTATTACATCTACCCTGTAGCTGTGACTCGCCCGAGCTCATCCGCGTAGGGGCTCTGGTTTCACGGCTCTGAGACCCAGCCACCTGGCTGACGACGCATCTCTAAGCCCAGGGGCCACTGCTGGGTGGGTGATCGTGGCGCATATGGCGCATCGGGTGTTCCACCTGGTGACCGGCACACGTGGCAAAGCTGCATCGTAGGGGAGGGAATTCTGCTCAACCTATCGGAGGGGCCGATGGGAGAAGAGCAGTAAGGACAAAGCTCCTCCCGTCACCAGGAGAGGACGTCTCACCGCCGTCTGTGACGTCCTTGCCCGCCCAAGGGCCCCGCGGCAGAAGGCCCAGGCACCACAGGACGCCCTCCACGCACAGTTCACGTCCCCTGCACGTCAGGACGAGGAGGTCACAACGGGGTGCAGGGGGGCGTGAGGCGCACGTGGCTCTGTCAGACGCACACGAGGTGGGGCACAGGGCAGGTGGGCTCTGACAGCCAACCCCGCGCGAGGCCTGAGCTCCACAGACGCAACGCCGGGGGACCGTGACCCTGAGCCGGCAGCCCCCCGACCGGGGGCTCCCGACAACCGGCCACCACGTGATTATCCATTCACACCGGGTACTGAGCTCGGCGGCGGCAGAGGGGAAAGAAAATACATACAGTCGAAGCCATAGCTCATTGAAGGAGCTTGGGGTCTTCCAGCGGAAGATGCGTGTGCAGATGCAGGATCGGACCGGGAGGTTACAGTCGGAATTCGAGGCACGGAGGGGCCCGCGTGAGGTGGGCCACAGAGAAAAGACTTCACGGGGGAAGCTGTGGGGTTGCAGGACGTCTGCCGAGGAAGGAGAGGACGGTGCTTCAGCCCGCGGGGGACCCTGCGCACGGGGTCGGCGTGAGGACCGCTGAGGGGTGTGTAGTGGGACGCCGGCAGGCCAAGGGGCGGAGTGTTGGGGAGACGCGGGCCCGATGCATGGGTGGGGGGGCTGGGGGCCGAGGCCCCGGGGAGATTGGGGAGCGGGCGCTTTGAGGGCCGGGCAGCCCCGTCCGGCGGCGGAGATTCCTGAGCATGGGGCTGCGGACGTGCCTCACAGGTGGACCGTATTTATTTGAGTTTTAGATTTTATTTATTTGAGAGAGAGAGCGCGCACAAGCAGGGGGAGTGGCAGACGGGGAAGGAGAAGCAGACGCCCCGCTGAGCAGGGAGCCCAACACGGGCCTCGATCCCAGGACCCCGGGATCATGACCCGAGCCGGAGGCGGACGCTCCTCATATGTGTGTTTTAGAAAACACTTGAGCGGCAGTTTGAGAGCATGTGGGGGCAGGAGCAGGACCCGGTGGGGAGGGGAGGCTGAGAAGGGGCGCCGTGCCGGCCTCCATGGGGTGGGAGCTCACCCCGGGAGTGCAGGGGGGCTGGAGGAGGAAGGAGCAAGGACCTGGCTGGCCCCCGTCTGGCACCCGCCCCTCCTCTGCTGCGTGAGCGCACCCGGGCGCCGTGCGTGCCACCCCTGGGCGCGGGCACAGTCGGCGGCTCTGCAGCACAGGCCAGCGGCCCCTCCGGGTAACACAGCGATGCTCCCAAATCCCTACTGCACGTGGAAACGCTTTGCAAACACCGTGAATCTTCAGCGAAGCAGCTCGGCCCACGGGACAGGCAGCAGAAGCGTGTCAACGTTCAGGAGGGTGACGTCAACGGACCGCGTCACGTTCTGTGGGAATAGTCTATACCTCCTGCCCCACCGCACACCTGTCACGGGGCAGGGGATGCAGAGGTGACGGGGCGAAATCCTGCTCTTCCAGGAGTTCAAAACCAAGGGCCAACCCGGGGCTGGCGGAGATCACTGAGAACCGTCCTCCTGGGGCAGGTGAGCGTGGGTGTGCTGCGTCCGCCCCACTCTGGGAGGGAATGAGGGTCTTCCTGAGGCGGGGGGGGGGTCGGCGGTGAAGTGTGGGCTGAGTTGTAGAGATTAATTGCAGTTTGAGGTTAAAGTAGGGGGAGGGGCACATGTTCCAGGCTGAGAGAAAAGGATGTGCAAAGGCCCTGGGGTTTGCAGGCTCGGCGTGCATCCCGGGGCCTGGAGGATGGAGGCGCAGGGCTCCCTCCATCCCTCGCAGGAGCCCCATGGCCCGGTCACCCTGCATGTCCTGTTGCTGCTGCCGCCACAGCCTCTGATGGGCAAACCTGCTTTAGAACCGCCCCGGCTGTGACTCAGGACAGAACTTGTCACCAAGGGACATCTGGGGGGCTCAGCAGTAGAGCGTCCACCTCCAGCTCAGGGCATGACCCCGGGGTCCCGGGATCAAGTCCTGCATCGGGCTCCCTGCATGGAGCCTGCTTCTCCCTCTAAGTCTCTGCTTCTCTCTGTGTCTCTCATGAATAAATAAATAAAATCTTAAAAAAAGAAAGAACTTGTCACCAAGAGGGCGTAAGGCTGGTGTTCCTCTAGGTGTTAAGTCAAAAAAACTTGGCCTCATTAGCTAATGGCTCATGTGCTTGCATAACAATTATTTTATATTTTATGTTTAAATATTTAATCCATTTGTTTTACATATGGAAGGTCAGTCTTATTTCCTTCCCGAGAGTTAATTCTGCACTCATCATTCATTGAACGAACAACACTCGGCCCAGCACGCGACGCTCCCCTCGCTGCGTGAACTGGGTCTGCCGTGGGGCTGTTCTCCGGGAGCCCACAGACGGCCGCCCCGCACCCTGCACGCCAGCAACCCGCGGCGTCCGGCGGCACCAGGGTGGGAGGGCCGCGGGCCGCAGCCGGCCTGGGCCAGGGCTCAGACGGGACGCCCGGCGAGCCCGAGCTCTCTCCCAGAGCCGCCCCTCAATGATTCAGGAAGCAATTACCCATTTTGTCAATTAGCCAGACCCTCTTTCACCTCCCGCTGCTCGGCATCGGGTCCTTTCACTGCTCATTAGCACCGTCGGGACGCGTGGGCTGCGCACGAGCAGGAGCTGGAGGTCGTTTCCTAAGTGGTGTGACTCGGGGGACAGGCGGGGCAGGGAACAAGGAAGAGACACCGCAGCGTCCGGCCGCATCCAGTGCGCAGATGCACCCGCGCGCCCGTGTTTCGCCTGCACTCTTAGCCCCGGGAACCGTGGTGTCCTGCGTCACCGAGGCCCGGGCCCGCGTGGCCACGCTCTCACGGTGGACGCTGCTGCCTCCAGGTGCGCCCCCAGGCTCAGGGGGGTCTCGGCTCATAAACACCCATCTGCAGACCTCAGCAAGAATCAGGAATCATGGTCGCCGTCAGCCTTGACCGCGTTGGGATAAGTAGCGTAGCGATTGAAAAGCGTTTCCCCCAACACGACAAAATGTCCTGATTTTTAGTGAACATACACGAAGTTTCAGGGTTTCCATCCAGTGTTACAGTGAGTGACAGGATGGCACGTTCAGAAGTTGCAAAGTCGGGCGACATGGAACACGGACGGGCCGGGTCTACTAGCTGGCACCACGGTTGGCGGCGGTTTCGGCCGCGGCGGGGAACCTCACAGGACGGAGGCGAGCAGCCGCCAGGCAGAGAACGCGTGCGAGAGCCTTGGCTCGTCGGCTCCCGCGTCTCCTTTTCCTCCCTGACCTTTCTCCGGGAGGATGGCAGCCAGGGAGCCCATCCTCCGCGGAAGGAGGCCTGTGCGCCGGCCCCGCGGCCTCTCCCCACGTCGCCTTACGCCCGTGCGCTTGCTGAGCCGAAGCTCGGCCGACAGCGGCAAGAGAGAGGGAACGACAGACAGGAATCACCAGGACAGAGGACAGGAGGCGGGCCAAGGAGAGAACGAGGCCCCCTGCGCCCGGGCCCCGGTGCAGAGTGTGACACGGTGACCCAGGAGGGAGCCCCCGGCCCTGTACCCGCGTCAGACGCGTCTCACTCACGGGAGGGATGCAGGATGTTCCAGAAACGCGCGTATTTCAAGTTCGTTTCAATGAGAAAGTTTGTACGGCCCCGAGCAGGAGCAGAGCAGGGAAGCCGCAGCCCTGCTGTGCGCCCACCCGCCGCCGCGCCCCAACGGCAGACAGTTTGTGCACAACGTCGAGTGAAGCTTGGGCCGTAGAGCGTCATGCTGTCTCCGGACTCCTGGCACCACCGGCGGCGTCTGCTGGCTGCGCCCCCACGGGCGCTCGGACGGGCCGCAGGTGGGCACGGGCGTTCAGCTGCGAGGCGGGGAACGTGGGTGAGCCGGTGAGGCCGTGTGCTCGGCTGCGGCATCGACAGAGCTCTGGGAGCCCCCTCCTAGATGCCCTGGGCCCGCCCGGGCCACGGTGGGGCACGCCGCCCGAGGGCGTGGGGCAGTGGCCGCGGGTCCGGAGGAAAGCTGCGGATCTGTGGTCTGCACATCACATCCGGGCCGTCTTCCAAGAGCTTCTGGTTCCTCCAGGACGTCTCC